AGACAGGGAGAGCATGGGGGCCCCAGGCTGGGGGCAGGGTGGTGAGGAATCACATTGAGGGTCACGTGCCTCCCTTAGCTAGTGCCCCTGCCTGTACTGGTAAGAAATGGATTTTACTTGCACCACTGGCGCCTGTGTGCAAGGGTATGTCTACACACCAAAAAAAAAACCCAGCGGCAACAGCTCTCAGCCAGGTCAACTGACTCACCCTCTCGCTGTGAGGCTAAAAATATCTTTGTAGATGATGGAGCTGGAGCCTGGACTCTGATACCCAGCAAAGGGGAAGGATCTCAGAGCCCAGGCTCCAACCGGAGCGTCTACACTGCTATTTTTAGCCTGCCAGCACAAGTCCCAGGAGCCAGTCAGTTGACCTGGGCTTGGAGACTCACTGTCACAGGGGATTTTTTTCAGTGTACTCTAAATGCTTTGCCTATGAGGACTTTATTTTAAACAAATATTTTTGTCCTGGCCTAAGTACAGTTTTATGTCTCACCTGCTTGTTAACCTATGGTTTTTAAAATGAAATCTAAAATACAATTATGACTGAATGTAGTTTGAATGTAAATGATCATCTTAAAAAACAAATCCTATCTATTAACATATTAATTGATTTGTCTTTTTCACAGTAATGCTCTAAAAAATCCCACCAAAACACAGTGCATGCTAATGAATGAATAATAGTCATTATTGTGTCTGAGAATGCACAGATGTTACTAAAAAGGAGAAAGAAAGAGTAGAAAGTGTTGCTGTCTTTCATATTAACACAACAAATCGTGAACAAAATGATGATAATTTGCATCCAGATATCTCACAGATTGTCGTCTTTCACATTTAGCCATATTTGTTATTTATTATTGTCTGGAAAACTGGTACTTTGTGATTTTCACTTTTTTGAGTACACCACAGAAACTTAGAATTATTACAGTGAGATCAGTAATTTAATCAGGCACTGATGTTAGAGTTAGAATAAAAACAACGAGGAGTCTGGTGGCACCTTAAAGACTAACAGATTTATTTGGGCATAAGCTTTCGTGGGTAAAATCCCACGTCTTCAGATGCATGGAGTGAAATAGTTAAAATAGTTAGAATAGTATGTGGAATGCCTTGAGTTAAGCTCTATCATTTGTTATAAGGTTGCAGCTTGTTTCCTAATTAGTTGAAGAGCTCTTGAGGTAAATATTGTAAGGTACAGGTTCAAGGCTGCTCTCCTATCCTCTTAGGAAAACAATGGAACCTTTTCCTGGTAGGTGCCTTTGCTAGGCTGTAGTATAACTCGGTTTTCTACACTAAATCACAGGATGGCAGAAAGATTAATTGAACAAAAAAAAGTGTTTCTAAACTTTGGCCTTTAGTGACATATGTTTAACAAACCAGCTAATTGTTTTTGTTTAAATGTGCTAGTAAAAGAAGAAACACAAAGAGGAAAATATGGAATGAAATACTAAAAGTGAATCTAGCTAAATATGAGAACATGCTGATTAAAAATAATGTTGATAATTTATTTCAATCAGAAGCAATGTCTTTTGGCTTTTACTTTCTACAACAAATTTAAAACTAATATCTAGGCATACAAATTATTTATTAGAAAATTATTTGAGGAAAATCACATTTGTTTCCCAAAGCATCTAAAAAAAGTCCATGTGAATTGGACTGAGTATTTTATAGCCTGGTTAGGCAGTCGGAATGAACCATTTGCCAAAAATTGTTTTTTCTTTCAAAACTGTCTGATAGAAAAGGTGCCTTTTAAGGACTGAGAGGAGTTTCAAGCCTCAGTAATAGAATTCATATGGGGGAACTAGTTTCCATGAGTGAGTTTTAAAAAACAAACCCACCTCTATAGATCCATGGTGGAGCAGGGATTAGCTTTGCCTAATCCAATCACGCACTGTTGGATAGCATAGTTACACTCCCTAATGGCATAGTACCAAGAGGATCCAGAGAAACATTGGGTCAGCTTTGAGCAAGTGGAGTTTGATGCTCTTTTGGAGCCACTTATCTTGTTCCCTAAACAGAGGTTTGCACTCACCCATGAGTCAGGTTAATATTTTCTATTTGGGATAGAATAAGAGTTAGAGCTAGTCCTGCCCTCTAAGGAATTTCGAGTCTGTTTTCGAGCTGAGCAGAGGTGCTGGATTTAATGTGATGGGGCTATTGTTGAAAGGCAAAAATGTTCTGGATACCAATGCCTTAGGGAAAACTCAACTTAACACATGGTTCAATATTTGCCTACCTTCAATTAGCACCCTGGGACCAATCCTGCAAGGCACTGAGTACTCCTCACTCCTGCTGAAGTCAATGTGGAGACTAGAAATCTCTCACAGCAACTGAAAGTGGGATGTCCCAATATCCCAATTTCTGAACTCTCCAGGACTGCCAACTAACCTCAACATAGAACATACTAAATGAATATGAGAAGATGGGGAGGATTACTGGGGCAAGGAAATCTCTCTGAACAGTGACCTTTGATTTGGTGGAAAGTTACCTCCCCTTCTATATGTGTAAATACAAAGGAAAATCATTTTAAAGTTCTCTTCCCTTCTCCCCTTCAGAAAGTTTACATGGATAATTCAGATATTTGCTGGAGGGAATATGGGGGAGGAGGTATTTCCCTTCACATATGGAACTGCTTTAAAGCAAAGCAGTTCTGTGAATGAAATCTCAATATCATAGGCTAGATCCTCAGCTGGTATACCAGCATAGCTCCACTGAAATCCAATATGCCGTACAGACTCACCAATACCAGACTGCCCCTTGATTCTTTCCCCCCACCCCTTGGAACTGTAAAGAATGGGTTCTATCAAATGGTCAGGCTCAGTTTGGTTTACTAATCAAAGATGAGGCATCTAAGATCACAGAGCACAAATAGAAAAAGGTGACGCTCATCAATACTGGGGTCCAGTCTGCCACTCACCCTGTCCCAAGCTGGGTTACAATCTATGGATCTTTTATAGACCCCTTTTTATCACGTTACAAAATATAGTTAGAAATGTCACCATTGACATCAGTGAATCTGTCTAGACAGTTACATATTCCATTACCCCTCCCCCCAAATTTCCAGCTACAAAAAATTTAAACAGTTTTGACCTAATTACAATAGAGTTTAGCACAAGTCTTCAGACAATCATTTTGTTTTGTCCTTTGCATTGGATACATTTTCAAACTTAACATTTTTGGCAAGATGATTCACGTCCCAATAACAAAATCAATTTGCTATCAATTTCCATTGTTTCTTCCCTTACAATATTTTTAACCTACTCTTCTCTTTTGTGCGGCTTTGGTTAACTTGTTAGTCCCATAGCATGACCTAACAAGCATATATGCAGTTTAAAAAAAACCCACCTTCTGCAGTTCCGAAAATTGATTATTCCCTCAGACATATGCTCAAAGCTAAATGTGTCTTTTAGTTCCCTTGATGACTTCCCTTGAGTTGCTGGGAGCTCTTAGGCCTATGTGGCAGCAGCATAGTTCTGTCATTAAGTAGGTGGAATTCAGACATGGTGTGAGCAAGTGCAACACCATTAATTTCCAGAGGATCCAGCCACTGACATCTTTTTGCCCAGTAGCACATATCCATTTTAAAAGAACCCACTATCTTAACCTCTAATGTCTTTTGGTCAAAGCAAAGTGTTCTTTGATTGAACCATGGGAATCAAAAGATTCCCCCAGGTAGAACTGCATGTTTCAGAAAGGTGTGAGATACACATTATGGAAAAGTTTACTGATTTTAAAATGTTACCCTGTAGCTTTTTCCAAAATGTTGCTCCTATTTTTAGAATATGAATGAACTCATCTTACAAAGAACACTCAGGAACTGAGCCAGTGCCCACTGAAGTCAGTGGTAATCTTTCAGTTGACTTCAATGGGCTTTGGATCCTACCCTAAACACCAGCTAAATAAAAGTATTTCTTTGTTATCATATGCTAAAATCTTCTGCAACTATTGAATGAGTTCACATTGTATTATGTAACTCTAATATTTGATGATTTACGCTCTTATTGAATCCTACTACTGTGATCTGTTTTATATAATATTGAGAACTGCCCTCTATTGAGTTGATGGCAGCTATTAACTTGTTATGTCATGTGTGAAAGTAATATAATAAAAACATTAAAATAACTCCGAATACCACTCGGGTATAAATACAGAAGGTGTTCACAACTAATGTAACTGGAAATCTCATTATGGTACCAAAAAAATCAATAGAAAAACCTGATATAACGCCATCATTTCTACTTGAAAAAAAATAGGGAACGGTTACTACTAGTGTACTTATTTGGGCTATATGACACTCCAAACCAAGACCTGGTCTACACCTAAAACTTAGGTCGACCTAGCTATGTTGCTCAAGGGTGTGAAAAATTCACACCTCCTGAGAGAGACTGTTGAGCCAACCTAAGCCCCAGTGTCGATACGGCTAGGCTGATGGAAGAATTCTTCCATTGACCTAGTTACCACCTCTTGGGGCAGGGACGGATTCTTTAGTGATAGAAAAATCCCTTCTGTCACGGTAGCAAGTTTCTAAACTACAATGCAACAGCAGTGTAGCTGCTGCGCCATAGCCACTGTAGTGTTTGTAGTGTAGACATACCCAAAGTGCTCCAAAACTTACTTTTGTGGGATGATACTATCTTTTAGTGATTGCTCATCAGTGTTATAGGCTGGTACACAGTATTGCACTAATTCCTCATCTGATTAAGACTTTTTGGTGACACTTAAGTACTAAAGTACCATCTGACGATTAATAAGATAACGAAGAACCCCCTTCAGGAGGAGATCAATGTAATCAGGTAATATCGATGAAGCTCTATCATTTGAACAGATATGCCTGAGATGGAAAATAGAAAAGAAGATTCTATGGTGTCCAGATGTTAGCATATATAAAAAATATATATTGACTACATTTTGCAAACAAGAAACCTGTACAGAATACAATAGCACAGAGCACAATTCCTACCATAATGACAAGAAAGACACATGGTTGTTTGTTTTCTCTTTTTAAGTTCTCGGCACAATTTAACATGTTCCAGACTATCAAGGAACAGCTGGAGCAGCGAACTCTGATCCTGCAGGCCAACATTCGGTGGCAGCAGGAAGAGCTCCATAAAATACAGGAACAGCTCTGCTTGGTCCAGGATTCCAGTATACAGGTGAGTAATGTCAGTGTCATCACAAGAGGAAAACAGATCGTTTTCAGACTCTGTATTTCTTAGTATGGGCTGTTTTCATTTTATTTTCAGAGTCAAAGAAATCTGAACTTGGGAAAACTAATTCATCTGGATCAGGATATCATTCTGGGAGCCTGTCAGTCACAAAAATCAAGACATGCTAAGGGCTGTCTGTATAGGAGGGCTTGTCCCAGCAGTCACAAGAAGAAATGAAAGGGCTGGTGGTCTTTCAGATTAGTACTCCATAATTGAGCATTTTATCTTCTGAGACTTCAGAATGATCAGTTCTCATCGAAGGGTGTTCAGGCTGTGACAATGAAATCACCACTGCTTTGATGGGGTCTTCATTTCACTAGCTTCCATTCACTTTTTGCTTCAAGTTAGATCTACTAGTCCTCAGTATTAAGTTGAACAGCTCTGCCTCTGCCTCCATCCTTTCTCTACTCTTCTCCACTCCCAACCCTGCATATGCACCTTCACCCAAGCTTGTCTCTTTCACTCACTCCCAAATTTGTGACTACTTGCATGCCACCTCCCCCGCTTGGAAGTGCATCACAAATAACATTTGCCAAACACCTTCCCTGGCCTTCAAAAAACTGCTGAAGAAACCGCCTGTCCCACAAAATCTTCCATCTGTAAAGTGCACACCCCAATTTGTGTTTGCCTTCAGACTGAAATTTCACTGGACCTGGGAGTCTTATATTTACCTGTATCTACTGTACTATATAAACAATACAGTACAACTCACATATCATTAAGTACTAGTGGAGACATCGCCCTGCATCTCAGATTGTTTCTGGAGGAGGAATTACTGCTATCTTCCTGATAATTTAACTAAGAATATTGGGTCAAATCATCCTTGGTATTAGTGTTGCACTGGGGATGAATTTGTCCCACTGTGATTATCATATTGATAGGATTATGGGCACACAAACCCCAAACTCACATCACAAAATCAACTAATAGCCAAGTAGCATTGTAAACATACAGGGTGAAATCCTGGCCCTCTTGAAGTCAATGGGAGTTTTGGATTTCACCCATAGTCAGCAACTATAAAAAAAAAAATCACTTCATACAATGTCACTCATTAAATTTGGGTTTGTAGGTTTATGTGATTAAGGGGTTAATAGACCCATATCAGAAATCCTGCTACTTAAGTCATTCCATTTAGAATCTATGGTGATGATGTTTTTGTTGTTGTAAATATGGTAACATAGCAACCATGAGCCCCATCCAGGATTGAAGGCCATTGTTCTTGGAACTGCACAAACATATAGGAAGACATATCAGTGTACATCTTCCAGTGCCTTTGCATTGATTTTGATAAATGGGAGTGGAAAGTCTCTCTGCAGTTAACTGGTCTTTCAGTTCAGAATCCTGGCACACTTCTGAAAGTTGTTGTTATTATACAGACCAAAAGGATGATCTCCCTTTCTCTCTGTAATTGGGCACATTGCATTACTCTCTCATGCTAAAGTCTTAAATATTCATATGCACTGATCCAGTGTTTGCATACTTTAGAAAAAAGTGGCAAGATCACAACACAGTTTCCTCAAATATGGGAAACTGATACTATTTTCACTAGAATTTTTCAATACACAAGACGATACCTTCACAGAGGAGGAAAATTGTGGTAACCAAAAGACCATGGGCCAGATTCTCAACTGTGCCCACAGAGACCAAGCGCAGAGAACACGGAGGCTGTCTGGGTGCCTGTTTTGAGGGGGTTAAAGGGCAGTGGAACCCTGACCTAAAAAATTACTCCAATCCTATGCTGCCCAGCCTCAGCAAAAGTTTAAAGATGCTGAATTGCTCTCTAATTTATAACACTGGCATAAGGTCCCTCAGTGGAGGATATGCTAGACTGGACCAAGCAGCATGTATTTTCAATACCCTGGGACTGGCCACAAAGATCTTTCCCAGAATGCTTTGGCCTGCCAGTCCAGCTCTGAATAATTTCTTGGGTGGGTGGTTTGTTTCTCATTTGGTTCTGCTGTACGATGGTAGAACAGAATCTTTACTGTGCTCTCAGCCATGCTTTGCCCACCTCTTTCCCCTCATCAGCCAGGTGGGGCACAGATGATCCATAGCCTGTCAGAGGGGCCAGCCCTGAGGGAAGAGATTCACCTTGGAGCCAAGCAGCAGAACAGCAGATGATGAGCGTGGGCCTAAAATTTCACCTCTGGAGCACAGGACTGAGCTCTTCTGGGCACATACCTCCAGTGGTAACCATGACACAGATGCCTTTGTACTTCCCCCAGGGCAGAGCAGCAGCTGGAGGAGCAACACTCAGGGCATTTGCAGGGCTGGGAGCACTCTGACATCGGCACTGACCATTTTCCAGCTGACTAAGGGTGCCCCCAGACTGCATCAAGCTAGTGTGCTACAAATAGCTGTGTAGCGGCGGTGGTACGGGTGGTTTGGCTTTCTGCTGAAGCACAGTCCCATCCAAGAGCCGCCTAGGTACATACTCAGGCTGCTGTCACCTCCCGCTGCCATTGCGTCTACACTGCTATTTTTAGCACACTAGCTGGATCAAAGCTAGCACATGTACATCTGCTCAAACTGGAAATCACACCTCCAGCTGCAGTGCAGACATACCCTGTGGAGGGAGACTTGCGTGGTGGGAAGATTGGAGAGTAAACTGGCGATTTGCTGGGAGTTGTGGAGAACTGTACCTTTAAGAGCTCTGGCAAGAGCCAGTTGGAACTAGCTGCTGTGTTATGGAGAGACTCGTGTTAGGCAATGCTGATCAGTTAGACTTCCAACAGTGATCCAAACAGGCCTTTGTTAGACGCCTTGGCTCGCAGTGCTCACTGAAGGACAAAGCCCCAGATTGGGGAGTGGGGGGGGAGACTGGGGTAATGGAGAAGGGGTGATTTCTTAGTTCAGGGTTCCACTGCCCTTCAACCCCCTCAGAATAAACACACACACACACACACGCACTTGAGATGTGTGCAGTACCACTAACCTATGACTGGGGCCTTTTCCTTTGAGGGCTGCTGCAATGATAATAGTAATAATTGTGCCTGTAATGCTCTTGAGACTGGCTTTGTGCTGGGGCATTCTTCCATGTTTTCTAAAGGTTAAGAGGGGACGCTGTCCTTAACTAAAGGAATAAAATAGTAATACCAGGAATTATTATAATGTTATTCACACCCTATCAACCACATTTAAAAAAATACCTTCTAATTTTTGAACCTGCAGTTTTGTTCCACTTGTAAACAGTTAATTTAGAAAGCGAACGGCTTGTTTTGCAGTGTCAGTTTCATTTGTTCTTCTTCGAGTGCTTGCTTATGTCAATTCCATGCTAGGTGTGTGCACGCCCACATGCACAGTTGCTGGAGATTTTTCCCCTTAGTGATATCCTTGGGGCCATTCCTAGCGCCCCCTGGAGCCCCAAGCTCATGCACCGGTATAAAGGGCACTGCCAACCCCATGCCTTCTCAGTTCCTTTTTACCACCCGTGATGGTTGCTGGGACATCTCCTGCGATTGCAAGCTTCCTAGTGTTTTTTTCTGTGGACTTTCTTGGACTCATTCTTGTTGTAAATAGTTCAGTTAGCTGTAGTTGCTTAGTTAGCTAGGGGTCCCCTCCAGGACGTCGTCCCAGGAACGGAGCATGCCCTGGTCCCCAGGTTTGAAACTGCGTGCTTCCTGCCACAAGCCGATGCCAGTGAGTGACCCGCATACGAGCTGCTTCAAGTGCCTCGGGGAAGCTCACATCAAGTAAAAGTGTAGGATCTGCAAGGGCTTCAGGCCACATATACTTAAGGACAGGGTGGGACATGGGTTTGAAGGCCCTGTTAATGGAAGCAGCACTTCGTAGGTCTGGTAGGGAGATGTTTGAATTCGATTATCTCTGTCCATCATTGATTGTACCCATGAAATTGGGTGCAAATAGAGGGGAGTTACTATCACACAGATTTCTGTATCTGTTTGAGTGGAATATGGCATATAGAGAACACAGGCATGCTGCATGATGTAAGCATGGAGGGACTTCCTTCTGCTCCCTGGAAGGAAGGGAGCCTGTAATGCAGCCTCCACTTTCTCCCTTCAGCTGTTTCACTGGCATTCCTTCCCCATTTTCACTCCCTTCCAGGATGAATAATAGATAGCTCTGTGGAGAAACTAGCCCTATTTTCATTTCGTACACAGGATCTTCAGAACTGTAGTGCAGAAGTCAGTCAAGAAATACTCTCCCAATTGGAGAGATGTTGAGCCCAGTACTGTGTATTAGTAACTGTTTCCAAGAGCCCAGTGTGACGAAAGATGAACTAGCAGGAGGGCTCTGGTCCTTGAACAGAAGTGTTAAAAAACCCATTAAGTGTCTTTTACTGACAAATGAAAGTACAGGAGCAGTAAGTATAATCTCAGGTATCTGAAAGGATGCAGTGCCTGCTCCAGATTTAAAAATAGTCTAGTTAATGACTAGTGCATCCAGAGAAAGGCAGAAGGGCTGAATCTGACCAGCATGCTAGAATTACAAATGTGAACATCCATACCCACAAATAATGTACAAGCCAGTCTCTCTTGAAGGTAAATGAATCTTCGGCTCTTAGTGCTATGCCTTTCATCAGCGTCCATTTTACCAAAAAGATAGTATTGATAAAAGATGCTGGCTTGATAGACCTGGAGGCAGGGCCGCCCGGGGGGGGCAAATAGGGCAATTTGCCCCGGGCCCCGCCTCCGCCTTCCTCCATCCCCCAGTGCCTCAGCGTGCCACGTCAGGAGTGGCCCTGGACAGCGCTGCAGCGGCCTGGCTCCAGCGGGGCCTGAGCTCCTCCCACTGAGAGCAGCATGGTAAGGGGCGGGGCTGCGAGCTCCGGTCCCGCCGGAACCATGCTGCTGCAGCGCTGTCCAGGGGCCAGGGCAGCTCCTGGACGTGGCACGCTGAGGCTCCAAGAGAGGGGAGAGGCGGCGGTAACCCAGGAGCGGCCCTGGACAGTGCTGCTGGGTGGCCGGTCAGGGGACGGGGAATGG